ATAGTGTGTATTAGCAATAAATACCGAACCTGATTGACGCAATTCGGTAAAAAGTAACAAAAATAAATTGGTAAAATTTTGTAAAACCTGATGATTCGAAAATCTAAGAAGGAGATAAAATTAGGAGATAGAACTGTTATTTATGAAAAATATTGAAAAAGGAACGTTTTCTCAAGGCGCAGCCAACTAGGATATATCGTTGCTCGGCATTACAATAAGGGTTAATTATCCAGACATTTTTTAAAGCGCAATAACTTTTTTCAAATTGCACGAAATTACTTAAATTTTTTAAAGATGACGAAAGGACTGGATCACTGTACAATGATTAAAATACTTTTTTCTTATTTCGCTATTAAACATTTTGTAGACATTGTCCAGTAAACTGGCCTCTCTAACATCTAAAACAAAGAAAAACGAAATACAAATCATTTCGTCCACTTTTAAGTGGTTTCGTTTTAAAAGACATCCGAATATTGATGCGAGTCACCGTGTATCCCGAGCTGGATCGTTCAAGAAATTCCTGCCATGCCGGAGAACGTTTATTATGAAATATTATAAAACACTGACCAGATATTTTTAATCGATAAGATGGCTGTAGGGGATGGCGAGACAAGATGGTCACGCTAAGAAAAAAATTGCTCTAGGATGCTATATCGGTGCTGCGATTTATAAAAAGACCTCGTACGTACATGCTACAAACACCTGTGTTCGAAGTACGTTAAAAAGAAAAGCTCGCTAAATTTCAGAGAAAGCGAATCAACCTCTATCCCGGTGCAAATAAGATATCCTTACATAGCAGCAAAATCCCTATACGCGACACGGCAAGATCGCGAACGGTTACTTAACCGTTCTTGTTTCCCCGTCCGTTTCAAAAAGTTCCATCATCGGGAATTCAAATATACCCAGGGAATTTGCGGTTCGGCGGAAAATTCTCGCGCGAATTTCCCACGGCTTGTTAGAAGCGAACAAGTGAATCCTTTTTATAGTATTAAACCGGGAAACGGGAAACGTGAAGCGATATAAAACAAAGATTCCCGGACTATCTAGAGAAATAACGGCCGAGCAGATTCAATGTTCTGTAGCCCGGGGGGCGGACAATAAAGCAAGTCGTCGGATCGATGTCGTACTTTTTTCAAATCATACGTCTTGGCGTCGACAACGACGGCTCCTCCTCTTCCTTTCTCTCTTTCTTTCTCTCCCTCTCTCTCGCTTTCTCTGAGGAAGGGAGAAAGAAAAAAAGAAAGAGAGAGAGAGAGATTCAAATAAAATAGCATGAGGAGCGGCTTCGGGAGGGGTGGTCGGCGCCGGCGGCGACAATGTCGTGAAACAGGAAGTCGAAGATAGGGGAAAAGGGTGCACGCTGCGTGAAAGTTTCGCGTGACACACCGCAACGGGTGCTATCGTTTCGTCCGGTAGCAAACACGGTCTGGCGACGGTCGTTGCCGGGTTTTGCGGGGTTGCGGGTCGGAGGGTTGCTCGGTCGAGCAGGGGTTGCTCGGAATCTATCGGTAGGCCAGATTTCGCTCGCGTATGCACGCGAGCCGGTTACTCCGGCGAGCGTTGGCTCGCGAGGAACGGGCCGGGGGAATATTCCGTGCGGGCTGATAAACACGTGTAATGGAAGAAACCAAGGCGGGTTCGCAACGAAGAGGCGAGATCAGTCGCGGATAAACCCGGCCGCGGCCCTCTTGCGGAACGCGTAACGCGATTCCGCGAAAATAATTTCAGCCCGCGGCCGACGGTACTTCTGGTGCTCGCGTCGGGGATTCGCTGCTCCGGATTAAAGTTACCTGTTACGTAAGTCGACCGGGGGCAAATAAAGGTGTCAATTGAGTCTCAAGAAGTCCGCGCCCTCGTCGAATGGATATTGAACGCGGCAGCACAATGGGAGAGGGCGGAGAATATGAAGGTTCACGCACGTGGATTTGCACGGTGTTTGAGATAGAGGTAGTTACGCGAAAGGGGTTGAGCGCAGGAGATACGAGGGAGGAGCCTTTGAATATTTTAATAGAAATTCCGCGATAAAAGTTGGGACTCTCGGGCTTCCGCCCGATACCGTGTGTCGTTCGCTTTCGGTTCCCGAACACACCAGCGGCGTGCTCCGATTGATTAGAAACCGTCGGAGGTTACCGCTGCAAATATTGGCTCGATTGATATGTTCTTGAGTTTAATTGCGTGTGGCCGCGGTCTCCTCTCCGGGGCCTTTTCATCTCCGTTATAGAACGCTCGTGTTTCGGGTCTCTCTCTCTCTCTCACTCTCTCTTTCTCTCTCTCTCTCCCTTTCTAAACGGTTAGAGCGAGCTGCAGTTGGTGCCGCAACTTCGAAGATAACGATAAATAGAAAGACCGGACTCGGTTTTATAATCACCGAACGAGCTCGCGTAAATTCGAGGTTTTAAACTCGTGGCTCGATCGTTCCGGAGAAAGGATTGGCGAACGCTCGCTTACACAGCGATCCGCGCGCGGCTTTTCGCGACGATGCGGCACCTCCGCGCGGAGGGCCACAGGTATCACAGTCACGGGGGATTTATCGGGCCGGGCCCGAAGCCCGAGGAATTTTCCGGCAGGACGGACTCCTTGCGGACGAGCAATATGAATACACCGCGACGGATTAAGGTGGATGGCTCGGGGGTGTCTCTCGTTCGAGCGTCGCTGGAAATATCGGTTGTCCGCCGAGTAATTCGAAAGCCATTACGCCTTATTTAATGACTTCGAGGACCCAATGTCGCCGGCCGTGGGGAGGTACTGCATTCTCGCCGCGTAAATGACGACCGCCGTATATATCCACCCCCACCGGCGGCATAAAAATCCGGGTAGATCCGAATCAAGAGACCGAGGAGACCGCATTAAGGAGTCTCCGCGCCCTATCCATCACGGCCGCGGGGACGTTATTGAAAAATGTGCAATTTGCCAGAAGTAAGTATGACGAAGCGACGCCGCCCGCGAATCACACGTGCTTCGCCCCGCGCAACGTCAATTTTTCCATCAAACCGAAGATTATCATCGGAAAGAATACCCGCCGGGGACCGATCGACGCGTCGGCGTCCGCCATCTTGCCTCTCTAGAAGAGAGGACCTTTCCTTCCTAATAAAACTACGTTCGGGCTGAACGACTCCTTTCTTTCGAAACGCATTAAACTTTCATCGAATGAAGATTGCATGGAAATATTTAGAATACTTTCTCGAGGAAAGAACGTTCTTTTCCGCGCATGTACGCGTCTCTTTACAAGAAAAGAAAACGGTGTCGTGCGCGCTCGTATTGTCGCGAGCTCGAGATTCTGCGTAACATTCTTTAGGTACTGTGAAGATTAAACGTGGATCCAGGGTCGGCCGGTCCAGAATAAATGGAGACCGAGAATCGAAAGATAGTCGGCGAGATCTACGAAAGTTTCGTAGCGATCCCGAAGTAATTCGAATGAAATTTCGTTAAACGCGTCATGTCCGAATTACGAGCAGAATACGTCGCATGATACGCGACGTTACAAAATGATAGTCACGAACGTGTGACGCGAACACGTTGAACTATTTACGGCTGACGGTATTCGAGACGCTCGCCGGAAGATAATACAATTCACTGGACCGTGTGCATTTTCAAAGAAACCGACGTACAATCATATCCGAACAATATTCAAAGAAACAAGACGACAAACAAACAATTACTTGTCAAACGTTCAACCGAAACGTAGAAAGCTTTGAATGTTTATAATGTTAATAACATCGGTTAGAGGGTGGGACCGATTTTATTGTCTACGAGCCGATTCCGTTGCGCCGCCGAGAATTCTCATCTGGCCGTCGCGTTGTATCAAACAATGATTATCCGCAACGCTGCAGTATCGTCGAGCGTATTCCGCACGATAAACCGGAAAATCGTAAACAACGCTCCGCATCGGGCAGCGGGGCGATCAACGTAGGTTGCAAAAAGCTCGCGTAAAAAGTCCTTTGTTCGTGGGATCTCGTCGCGACCCTTCGGTACGATTTCGATTTACGTTCGATTTTTTTCGCGACCCTCGCGAAACGCGGCGCTGCGCGGCGCGCCGCGACGGTCGAGGCGGTGCCGAGAGGAGAAACGGCAAAAGGATACTCGACATTCCCTGTGTCTGCCACGGAATAATTCAACGTCGAATTACGTACGAGCTATCAATAAACTTCATTAGCCGGCTTCAAAGCGCGGAAAAGCGTCGGGGGGAGGGGTCGAGCCAACAGGTGTTTCGCGACAAAATTTTATCAAAAATCAAGGAAACAGCCTTAACCAGTCCTCAAACGTTTCCTCCGGTATCAAAACTTTCCCGGCTTGCGGAACAAGCCCTCTCTACGCCAACCAACCGTGCTTGCTCGAAATTAATCCAAGTCGTTGGTGGGAGGACAATATAAAGGAGGGATGGGGAGAGAGAGAGGGGGGGGAGTGGGATGGGATAGAAGGGATGCGCGTGCGAGAGATAGAGAGACAAGCACGGCCGTATCCGCATTAGAAAATCTCCCCGCAAACCGGCGGAGTGGCTTCGACTGCTACCCGCTTCATCCTGCTGTCGGGGGTGTCCCTCTTTTCCTCGACGCGTATCGCAGTCGTGAAGGAATTGCCTTTGCCGGTATCGGCGGAGCTCGGCCGGAGAACAATAGAGAGCCGGTGCACAAAGGGCAAGGATGCATTCGCGTCGGGAAGAAGGAAGCTCGCCGCGCGAGTTTAGCGTTCCGAGTACATACAGGGGGTGCGTTCGTCCCGTGAATACACCGGGAGGACCCCCGTTTTCCACCCTCGCCGACCCCCGGCCGTCGTCTAGGGGCAGCTCGGCGCTCTGCGCGTCACCCCGGCAGTGGGGGACGGTTGGCCTATCGGCTCGGGGTTGCTTGGAATCTATCGGTGGGCCAGATTTCACTGACACAGTCTCCGGCTTAGCGGCACACGCGACGAGAGACCGATCCTCCCCGCGATCCTTCTCTCATTCTCTCTCTCTCTCTCTCTCTCTCTTTCTCTCTCTCGCTCTCATTCTCTCGCGGCGCGGCGGTCGGAGTCGCCGAGAGGCAACGCACTGAGAGACGGGAGAGACGCGAGAGACGGGAGCGACAGACAGACAGAGCCGAGAGAGCCGAGCCAGAAGCGAGCCAGCCCGAGCGTGTGCATATCCTGGGGCGCGTGCGCGTGGTCAGTGGCTGCGTTAGCGCACTCGCGCCCTTCCTCGACGTCCTTTTGCGAGGAAATTGATTCTGCGCGAGACGGAAGCCTGCGAGGGAGAGCACCGCCAGACGAGAGCCGGGGCCCGCAGACCGCGCACACACCGCACCGGCGACGGAACACCTGTCTTGGCACTGGTGCACGCTAAAACCGGCCACCCGTCGGCACGTCGTTATTATGTAAGGGGACGCCGCGGGGACGTCGTGACACGTCGGTGACAAGTGGACACGCAGCCCGCCGCGCCGGTTTGGCCCGCGCACGGCCCGCCGCCGTCACCGCCGCCACCGCCGCCGCCGCCGCCGCCGCCGAGATCCGTCGACTAGCTCGCGAAACATGCGAAAGGACGCGTCGCGCCGGCCGCGTACACAAGATCGCCACCGACGACGACAACGCGTCGACCAACCGCCGCATTAACGAGGGAGACCAGCAACGCTGCGCCGTCGAACAGGAGCCTCGATGGAACTGATAATCCTGTTACTGGCTTGCATCGTGGGTGAGTGGAGAACAAGATCCGCGAGCCGCAATCTCGATCCGCGATCTGCCACGCGGCCCCGAGCCGCTTTCCGCGCCCGTCGGAACCATCTCGCGCGACTCCTGCGTCCGTTTCAGTGCTCTCTGCCCGAAGAAGGTGTCCCCCCTCCCCCCCGGCTCATTGTCCCGGGTGGTCATTGTGTCCCCCACGAGCCGAAGGAACGGCTCGCAGACTGTGCGTGACACACGGTTTCACGCGGAGTTCGCATCCGGGGTTTGGACTGTTACAACGTGGTCGAAACGTGCTCCGCAAACGGAGAACCGGAGGACGCGAGTTCTCAGTGCACGGCAAACCGGACACCCTTCGCTCCCGCCTATGCTTCTCCTTCCGCTATTCTCGCTAGAGGGGAGCGGGCCGCCGGGGGAACGGTAGATGAGATCGCGGGGGTTGAATTTTAAGTACGAGTCGCCGGGCTGCACGAGAGGCTTGTTTAACCCCGAGATCGTGCACGGTTCCCTCTTTGAGGGGATTTGAGACACGGTTTAATTTAACTGTGCGCGAATCGCGGCGAACTTTCCCTCGCCCTCCATCGGAGCGTGCAAGGTCGTTATCAACGGGGGTGGGCTCTTGCCTGCGACGCTCTGCATTTTTCAGCGGCGGCATTCGGAGTGGAAACGGAGCCGTGCACGCGGTCGCGCCGCGGAAGAGAAGCGGGAAAAAACCGGGGAGATCGGCCGAACGGATAACGCGTCTCTCTCTCTCTCTCTTTCTTTCGCCGTGGCCGTCGTAACGCGCGGGGTTCGGGTCCGTCGTCGGCGGGGACGCGCCGAAATCGGCACGGGAATTGGCTGAAATCGACCGGTCGATGGGTTCTCGACGTTCAATTAAAAATGAACAGGCGAAATGAAGCTGCCGCGCGGTCCTCGGAGGACTCGGATCCTCGTCGATTATCGGACCAGCGGGTCGTTCGACGCTCGCCCCGCGTCCCTGGTTCCGTGAAAATTTGTAATTTCGCCCCGCATCACGTGGCACGATGCGTATCGACCGCGACTCTTTTGATTACGGGCTGGAAACTATAAAAAGGAGAGAACAAGCGGACGCGAAAAGGAAGAGGAGAAAACGAAAAGTGAACGTACGCACGCAGGGGGGCTGAGCACGAGCGTGGGCGCGCGCGCGCGCGAGCGGGCGCGTCGTCGAGGGGGCCAAATTGCGAGTGCCCCGTTTTGCTTTCGCCGGAGGTGAGAGCCCTTTTCCGAATAACAATTTGCGGCTGGATATCAGCTCGCGCGTAATCGGTGCTTGATAATGCAGCGAACGTCGTCGCCTTTGACGGCCGCTGCTGTGCTGGTTGGCTCGCACGCGCGCCAGTTTAATCGGCCGAGTCCTTGTTCCTCGGCCGGCTGAATACCTTTCAATTTGATTCTTGTTGAACGTCACATGTTTTATCTACGATCGCGGCCGCGTATTATACGGCTCGCGAGTAATAATTACCGGGTGAAGTGGTTGGAAAGTCACCTCTCCCTCTCTCTCCCTCTCTCTCTTTCACTCAGCCAGGGCGATACAAGGCACTTCGGAAAACATAAATATCGGTGTTGCGTTCGATGTTTGCAATAATGTGGATGAAGAGCACGGTCGGCCGGACAATCGTGTAGGCAAATATCTGCGGCGAGTGTACGAGCGATTACGTTGATATATCGGTAGGAGCCATTATGCGGAATGCCGCGGCTGTTAAAGTGTTGGTCCTACCGTATTCGATAAACAATAGAATCCGCGCTCCCGGCATCTCGAACTAATTAGAAATAAGCCGTTCTGTTCGGCTGTCGGGGCAGGAGCAGCATTTAATGGACTCGTTATAAATTCCCGAGACTTTGGCCGCGCGTCGAAGACGAATCGATCACCAGGTTCCGGCATAAAATCGAATCCCGTCGTGGGCCTCCCGACGTCTTAGTTTCAAAATCATAAAGTATGCCGGTGCTCATTGAACCATTCAATATTTATAGTATTGGCACAGTCTTCGCGGAGCTCTGATTACAAGGAGCTTTACAGAAGCAGCTTTGTTTGCGCGGAGCGTCGCGGAAACTCGGGGTCCCGTGGCGCTGTAACGAGATTACATAGGGGCACGGTTACACGAGAGTCTTCGTTCTATATTTTCTCTGTCGCTCGAAATTCGGACCTGACCGCGGAAACGAGAGAGCGAGAGAGGGAGAGAGAGAGAGAGAGAGAGAGAGAGAGAGAGAGAGAGAGAGGGAGGGAGGGAGGGAGGGAAAACCGCGGGCGAAAGTCAGATGTGGAGATCGTTCCGCGCGATACGCGATCGTCACCGATGCACGCGGTTAAAATATTTGTCCTCGCAACTATTTATTTGCCGACGCGAATTGAACAGCTCAATTGGCGAATACGTTTGCGAACGAATATCCCGTCGGCAAACAACGGTCCACCGGTGGACGAGAAAAAAATTACTTCGCGCGTGCACCCGAACAGGAGAAAATGAACGATGAAAAAAAAGGAGAACGTGAGAGAGAGAGAGGAAAAAGAGGGGCGGTAGAGACAGGGAGGGAGAGAGGGAGAGGACGGAAAGGGGGCAACGTGAAATTTGAGGGCGCAATCAAGAGGGATTCTTATCCATTGGCGCATTGAACTCGCGGAAGTGGCTAGACGGGAGGAGACGGCGACGCTGAAGGGTTCGCGGCTGCTAAAACGAACAAGCGTTTTCATAATAGAAATTTAATGAACTTGACGAATAATTGTGTCAATGGATAATTGCGTTAATGCCGCTCGAACGGGCACGGTTCCGAGGCTGCCGCTCCACTTCGCCCGATACAACAAATCACGCGGCTGGTTCGCCGCCACCGTCGCCACCGCCTCTCCGCCTCCGTCGTCGCCTTCCGTCGGCTTATTTCATCGGCGCTTTATTGAATTTTTTGCTTCCGCTCTTTCCTGGCTCGGCGTCCAGGAGGAAACTCGGCGCGGAAAAACCGTATCTCCCCGGGTAATCGAACGCGTCCCCCGGTTTTACGACTCCGCGGCGCGGAGCAATGCAGAGCGGAGAAACGCGGAACGGAGCGGAGCGGAGCGGAGCAGGACGATGCGGCGTCACGGCAAGAGAGATAGGACCCGGGTCTAGCGGCGGATTGTCCTATTCTCTCGCGGGCATCCTTTTCATCGGGCGACACGCGTGCGAGTGCCGGCAACGCTGCACCCCCGCACACACGTCGATGCACACTGCCTCCACCGCCTCCGCTGCCTCTGACGTGAAATACGACTGGTCTAGCATGGAACTGTCGATTCCATTGTAGCGATTCTCCATCGACACCGGGACGCTTCTTTCGCCCCGTGTTCCAACCCCGGCACGAGAGATTGTTTTTCTGTTGTCTTTTTGCTCGGCATCCCCCGGCCGTGCTCCTTTCTTCTCTTTTTTTTTCTGATCCTATCACGACCTCACATGCACGCCCGCGCGCATCTATACACACACACACACACACACGCACGCACGCACACACACACATGTGCCTGGCTCGTCGGACTTTAGAACGGGGGTAGTGAAGAATGCGAGAGAGCCGGTCCCCGAGTGTATCGCCGCATCGTCACCCCACCCTTTTTTCCTCCCCAATTGCGCATCGCGCACGAGTTTCTTCCTCGCGGTTCCTTTTCTGTTACCCTTTCACGTTTTTTCCACTTCTCCCCCGTGGCCCTTCTTTTTCTTCTTCTCCTTCTTCTCCTTCTGCTTCCCCTGGCGCTGCTGCTGCTAACGTCGCTGCTGCTACTCCATTCTTCGGGGGCCGGGATTCTCCGTTTTTTTATTATTTTCTTTTTTTTGTAGTTTCCTCCTTTAACGAGTCCGAACGATTGTCATTTTTTTCTATGCGACGTCGCGCGAGCGTTGCCCGGGATTCCGCAAGTGTCCGCCCGCTGAATAGGCCGGCACTTTAAATGCGGATCGTCTCTTTATACGGATATGGAGTAATTCTCTCGAGCAAGCGACCCGATTTATTCACGGGCGACCGACGGCGTGCCTCCCCCTCTCCCCGCCCGGCTCCCGATCNGCTGTCGGGGCAGGAGCAGCATTTAATGGACTCGTTATAAATTCCCGAGACTTTGGCCGCGCGTCGAAGACGAATCGATCACCAGGTTCCGGCATAAAATCGAATCCCGTCGTGGGCCTCCCGACGTCTTAGTTTCAAAATCATAAAGTATGCCGGTGCTCATTGAACCATTCAATATTTATAGTATTGGCACAGTCTTCGCGGAGCTCTGATTACAAGGAGCTTTACAGAAGCAGCTTTGTTTGCGCGGAGCGTCGCGGAAACTCGGGGTCCCGTGGCGCTGTAACGAGATTACATAGGGGCACGGTTACACGAGAGTCTTCGTTCTATATTTTCTCTGTCGCTCGAAATTCGGACCTGACCGCGGAAACGAGAGAGCGAGAGAGGGAGAGAGAGAGAGAGAGAGAGAGAGAGAGAGAGAGAGAGAGAGGGAGGGAGGGAGGGAGGGAAAACCGCGGGCGAAAGTCAGATGTGGAGATCGTTCCGCGCGATACGCGATCGTCACCGATGCACGCGGTTAAAATATTTGTCCTCGCAACTATTTATTTGCCGACGCGAATTGAACAGCTCAATTGGCGAATACGTTTGCGAACGAATATCCCGTCGGCAAACAACGGTCCACCGGTGGACGAGAAAAAAATTACTTCGCGCGTGCACCCGAACAGGAGAAAATGAACGATGAAAAAAAAGGAGAACGTGAGAGAGAGAGAGGAAAAAGAGGGGCGGTAGAGACAGGGAGGGAGAGAGGGAGAGGACGGAAAGGGGGCAACGTGAAATTTGAGGGCGCAATCAAGAGGGATTCTTATCCATTGGCGCATTGAACTCGCGGAAGTGGCTAGACGGGAGGAGACGGCGACGCTGAAGGGTTCGCGGCTGCTAAAACGAACAAGCGTTTTCATAATAGAAATTTAATGAACTTGACGAATAATTGTGTCAATGGATAATTGCGTTAATGCCGCTCGAACGGGCACGGTTCCG